TTGGATGTAGGCACAAGCACTTGATATATATTTTTGTCAAAATAATGAAACCACCTAATTAACAATGCTAATTTGTATTTACTTGTTATATATTCTGGTTTATTGGAAATTGATTGGCTTTATTGCTGTTGGCAGATGAACTTTTGAAATCAACTGTGGCGGACAAAATTCCAAGTGATTTGGAAGGCATGGAAAGTACTCTGGAGAGGTTGCTGGCTTTAATTGAAATGGACCAAAGCAAACCTGATTTAAAATGGATTAACGCAATTCCTATCAACAAGAACACAATAAGTTATGGCCTTTTAATTTGAAGTTGATTAGAAAGTGAAATTAGCCTAACAGCCTTACCAAAAGATGACCATCACCTCAAGTATGACCCCACCTGTATTGGAATTGACCCTACTACTACTGCTTGAAGTTATGCTATGCCTAATAGTGGCAAAAGTTATACAGTTTATAAAGTATATAATGTATGATATTGGTGTTTGATTCACTAATGCCTAGTAATGGCAAAAGTTATACAATTTATAAAGTAAATAATGTATGATATTGGTGTTTGGTTCACTAGTCCTCTTTGGCTCTGGTGGTGGCTTTCAAGATTCTTGAAACCAGAGGTCTAGGGTTCAAGGACTAGTGGAAAACCAGCTACAGAGGAAAGATACTAGATGAGGTATTACAAAACACCTTCCTTTTGATTTTTGATATAATTGTAAATTAGTGGTATGCTGAGTATTACTGTATTGCTTTACTGCCTTTTATTTTGTTGTGCAATTTTAATTTTACAAATAGTATGTCAATTACTAGCATTGCTAGATTGTTACACTGCACGGACATAATTACTTCATAGAAAAATTATCTCAGATTCTATTTCTCACAAAAGAATGAACAAAAATGAGGGTCATTTGGCTTGTTGCTAATCAATCACCCTTTCATTATTTCAGTGCAAGTTCTGTGGCAGGGAGGGTACTATTACAATGATACCAAAATCTGGCCGCTATCTAACAGGTGATGACTGTGAAGCTGGAAAGTTTGTCCGTTTGATGAGCTTTGACTGCCGGGGTTTGGAGCCAGTGGACTACTCCTTTGGTGGTGACAAGGAGGAGTGGGAGAAATTATCTGATGACAAGTAGGAGCATGAGAAATTATCTGATGACAAGGAGCCCGGAGAAGGAGAAGTTATCTGATGATAGTTACCTTACTTTTGTAAATAGTGACATCTATAAAAATGTGGTCAATGTTGTCAAAATTTATATAATTACCTTATTTTTATATATAGTGATCTTCGTTATTTTTATATATAGTGACCTCTGTATAAATGTGGTCAAAATTGATATAGTTACCTTATTTTTGTATATAGTGACCTTTATGTAAATATGGTCAAAATTGATATAGTTACCCTATTTTTGTATATAGTGACCTCTAAGTAAATATTCTAAAAATTGATATAGTTACCCTATTTTTGTATATAGTGACCTCTAAGTAAATATTCTAAAAATTGATATAGTTACCTTATTTTTGTATATAGTGACCTTTATGTAAATATGATCAAAATTGATATAGCTACCCTATTTTTGTATATAGTTACGTTATTTTTATATATAGTGACTCTATGTAAATATCGTCAATTTAGATAAAGTTACCTTATTTTAGCATGTAGTGACCTTTAAAACGTTGCGTTTGTCAAAAAAAAAAAAAATCTTTAAAACAGTTGAATTGATTATATGTAAGGTCGGAATGATCTTAGGGCTTTAGAACCGTCTGATCTTTTGTGCTAGTAATGAATGGCTAAGATTGCTTGTTTTTAGTTTTCACCATAAGCTCTGTTTTTAGCGGAACCTCCCCGTATATATATATATATATATATATATATATATATATATATATATAACAGAAATCAACTTTCAAACTTCATAATGAAGCTTAAAAGAAACATTTTATTTACTTTTACTTTTAAAAAACTATTTTTATTCAACACTTTAGATACTTGAAAATGATTTCTGCCCAATTAATCACAAAACAAATTAAATGAGCTATAATTAAAGTAACCTTTAGGATGAAATAGATTGTCCGTGATAGCTTGTGGCATAGGGACTTTTGGTAGCTTCATCTGCCAGTAGTCCTCTTGTTCACAGCTTGATGCATGAAATGCTAGAAAAACAAGCTGTAAAAAAAAATACAACAAATAAAAAGGATATATCATAATAAATTTAAGGAAATTGACTTGGTGCAACTCAAAACAAAACGAAGAATATTAGGAATTATTGAAAAATAACGGATATTTGGTATTAATTTTAGTGAACCGGTCAAATTTGAGAATAAAACCAATTTTTATAAAATGACACTCAAATTTGATATGCAAACTATATTTTGAACAATTATTAGTGAATAATGAATTAATGATACATCTTTCATAAAAAAAAATGAATTAATGATACATACCCTTGTTCAATTAAGAAGTAACAGTCATTGTTTTTAGGGACATGTTAAATTGTTAATCATCTCATATGATTCTTTTTTCTCGAGTGTATAATCATAATTCATGTTGATTACATTCATATTAATAAGAGAATTAATATTATCTAAGATCATAATATAGTACTATAGTTGACTGATTTTCCATGATAGAATGATAGATAATTAGTGAGAAGTACACGCCCATACTAGATCAACAACCATAGATTATTGTCAAGTGTTAGTACTTTGAGTTTTGCTTGGTCAATAATGATTTGTGTTCATTTTAAACAAGCGTGATAAATACCAGTACTTTTTCTACCCTTCTCGGGACCAATTATCCGGTTGCCCGGTTGGTACTAATAAGATAGCAATGCACTAATAAATAGTATCATTATGAATCACTTGTGCCAATCAACGGAAATCATTATCACCAAAGACTTTTTCACGAAGTCATTTTGGCAATCCACTGTAGTATATAAAAAAGTCAATAGAACGTAAAATTGGTGAGTATGGTAGAATCATCACCGTGTACTGTTGAAAATTTTATGTCGAAGTTAAGGCCAATGATACTAGTGTATACTGCAAATTCATCTCGATATATACACATTCAAAATGTCAAATTCTTAAATACTATAGTTTATAGATAACAAAAATAACTAATAGCATTATGCATTGAGAAATATAAAATTTACTCTACATGTTGAAAAATTTGGAGCGAAGAAAGTATTAGTTAGTGCGGATGAATTTATTACTTACCAAGAAAATTGCATGTAATTGTAACAGGGGCCCGAAATGCATGGCCATCTTTGGATTAAGAATTATGAAGACAAGAAGACTCAAGAGTGAGTGAGTGAGTAGTGATGAGTGAAGGCAAGAGTATTTAACTATTTATACTAGTTGTAAGCTTGATTATAGCTACTCTTTACTTTGTACAACCACCCACATTATATTAAATAATATTTGAAAATATTTTTATTTTTTTTAATGTAATCTAAAATGTACTTGTAAAAGTTAAAATCATATATTGATATTGTAAAAGTCTAACATTGTGATTAAAATAGAATAAAGAATTTTGCTTTTTAATTATATATATGATATGAATGAATATATTAATCTTGTGAATGCAATCATTGTACGATGATCACTATAATTTCCACACACTTCGAAATTGAAAAAATTAAAAAAATAAAAATAAAAATAGACTAGCAACTCCAGCAAATATATTATTTACATATTATCGTTACTAGATTAGTATTCGCGCGTTACACGGTAGTGATAAGTAATTAATTTATATTTTTTTATATCTTTTGTTATTAATAATTTTAACTTTTTTGTATAAAGATGGTTTTTTATAAATATAAAAATACATGTACATTATCTCATTCAGCGTTTCACATGTTTAACTTTTTTTTTTTAATTTCGTAATTCTGATTTAAAAAAAAAAATTATACGCTAACTGAGTTAACATTTTTAGTGTTTTTTTTTTTTACTTTTTTAACTTCTGGTTTATAAACAAAAAAGAAAAAAATAATATTAAAGTTGTTGTGTTCTTGAGCTGCCCCACCTTCCTAGCTTAATCAGCTTTTTTCTTCTTTGTCTACACGTGGAGTTCATGCACTATAGATTAGTGTCTCCTTCTTCAGCTTGAGGATTTATTATATTTGGTTACCAATTATTCAACCCTCTTCCTGTTTTCACTCCTTTAATCAAATTTTCACTCTTTTTGAGGGAGCACCAGTTCCTTATCATGATGGAATATGTGTCAAGATTTGAGAGTTTCACTTATTTGTGGAGACCGTCGGAACAAAACATGTTCCTTACAATGAGAGACGGGGAATTCCCCGTTCTTTTCTCCTTCACTTTCACTATACTCCTACCTTTAACCTTAATGGAAATTTTCAATCATTGGACCGTGTATCGAGTAGGGGTGTATTTAAATCAACCTTTGGAGCATTCTATTACTAATATCGATTAGAACAAAGCTGTCATTAGGCGATTCTTTGGGCCCAATCCTCCATGTCGTGCGATTGTTCAACAGATGGTCGACACAAGGTAATATTGTTGTTCGTCGTACTAGTAGCAACCACCTTCGTTTTGGACGGTAGAATTTGCTCATGAATTGATTTTGTTAAACACAAAACAATGGCAGCAATCAAAGCATATGTATTTCTGTATATTGCAATCATGTGAATATGGACTTAAATACAAAGAGGAGAAGAAGATAGGAAGCACCAATCGTATCCCACCCCAACCGCAATACTCGGATACGATATGATAATTATCACATATTGATACTTATCCACCCAAATAATACAATCATTATCACATATTGATAATTATCCACCCCAAAAAATACAATATTATCATAATAACATAATTATCCTAACAGATATTTTGTTAAGCAATGTTGTATATTTTTTTTTTTTTTTTAAAAAAAATCAAAAAAAAAAAAAAAACAAATACGCTATAAACACTGCCTCAGACAACGTTTTATACATTGAATTTTTGTTTTAAAAAATCAGGGGTAAAACGCGATCCGAGTTAACATTTTATCCTAGAATCTTAGTTTGGTAAATAATTTGATCACGCGTTTATTTTAAAAATTAGTTTGTGAAATAGGTATAGTTTGGTAAAACTTCCTAATATTTGAATTTTTTTTTTTAATATAATCTAAAATATTACTTGTAAAAGTTAAAATCATATGTTGAAATATTGCAAAAGTCTAACATTGTGATTAAAATAGAATAAAGAATTTTGTTTTTAAATTATATACAAGTATATGATATGAATGAATATATTAATCTTGTGAATGCAATCATTGAACGATGAGTCGATGATCACTATAATTTCCACACACTTCAAAAAATTAAAAAAGATAGAAAAAATAAATAAAAATAGACTAACAACTCTAGCAAATATATTTTCTTAAAAAAAAAAAAAAACTCTAGCAAATATATAATTTGTATATATTATCGATATTATATTAGTATTTGTGTGTTGCACAGTAGTGATAAGTAATTAATATATATTTTTTATATCTTTTGTTGATAACTTTTTAAGTTTTTTTTAATTTTTTTTTTGTATAAAGATGTTTTTTATAATATAAAAATACGTGTATATAATTCTTTTTTTAAGAGCTCTCCCACCCGTGAAGGGAAAAAACCCCTCACGAGTGGAAGTAACGGTATCCGAGTTCTACACCAGTGAGAGGAAAATCCTTCATGAGAGATTCGGATTGCATCAGTCGAGGTCATTTAATTGTGAACAGTAGGCTGGTGGGCCCCGGTCAGTTGACAACTTTTGTTTTTTTTTTCTTTAACATTTTGCTTTTTAAAAAAAAATAAGTGGCATGCTGGGGGCGCGTCATCCTGCCCAACCGGATGGTGACACGTGTCCCTGCCAGATTAATTGACCAATGACAATTTTCTGCTTATTTGCAACAATAATATGTATTTAAACGACATTATTACCGTTTAACTAAAAAAAATTATTTCACCAACGGTCATAAAATTTTATTTACTATAAATAGACATCTATTTTGATATACATAAATATATCTAAAAAATTACTACTTTCACTAATTTTTCATGCTACATCATACTATGTTATTGAAAGTATATTAAAATGATGCTTAGACAAAATATATTTAATGTTGCATTATCTATTGAGCTTATACGTTTAAAATGGAAGTTAAAGACACAGTAGCTATATCTATAAATATTATTGTACTATATTAGGAATATCCGAAATTAGTACGGTGTATAAAACAATATTGATACAAAATTCAAGTTTCAGATTTTTAGTTTCATTCATACCTATTCTGTCCTAATTTCTAGCAAGTAAAATGATAGGGCAAAAAAAAAAAATTGATGACATCATATTAAAGTTTGGAGGGAAATTTTTTTAATGAGAGCTTGACACATAAGACACTCTAAGAAATTGATTATATTAGCACGTTTTGTTTTAGTAATAATTAATAAATGACTCAAGAAGCTAATTAAGCAACCTAGACCATTCATTCGTAGTAAGTTGTATCATGATCAAACGATTTGATATTATCATCAAACTAACATTATGTTTTACCTTCAGTAATAATTTAGCAATTAAAAGATCTTGAATTAATTGTCACCTAATAAAGCATATATTTTTTGAGAAAGAGTCGCCATTTGATCTGGTGACCTACCTATTAATTATACACAAGTCCTCATCTTAAATCAAGACCTCGTGATATGGTATCGAACAAGACATATGTCGTGATATGTGCATTTGTATATTTTTTGGGCTTTCTTCCTTTGGCTAACATGCAAGTGCAAATCTCTAAGGATGTTACTAAATACCATTAAGAATAACTATATGCTATCACCATAGTTATTTACATGTATGTGTCTTCTTTTGACCTCCTCATCACCTTATCGACCAACACCATATCTAACACCACCACATAATTAACCACCCTCACAAAAGTTGCAATACCCTAACACATGTCAAGCATCAGCAAGCCATGGTCACTGCCTCCTAAGCAAAGGTTGCACCCGTACGAGGTTCTATGAGAAGGGTTCATCATATATATAGTTGAGGTGTTAGTCAGATGGGGTGGTCAAGTGTTGTTAACAATCTCTAGCTCCCAAGTCCCATGCATTTACTCTAGAGTCAAGAATACAAGATAACTTAGATAGATCAATGATTGAATGCATAAACAAATGCTAAGCATGCAAAAATCAAACCTAATCACTGGTTACATTAAATTTTATTGGCTAAAGTTGTACCATCACAAGATTCACAACGATTGTTCTACATTATCCGTGCAATATTCTCTCAATCCCAAAAGACTACCTACAAAATAGATTATTTTCGAAATACTCCTTCCGTCCTTTATTTTTACTCCATTGCCATTTTTTGGGTCAAATTAGAAAACATTATCGTTAATTTATAAGATCAAGATAATATAGTCAAGTGAGAGCTTGTTAGATTTGTCTCATTATATATTTTATTAATATCAAGTTTTTATAATTTTTACATGTATGGAAAAAAAAAATATAAACGCTATAAGACGCGTCTAGGAAATCGTGCAAAGTCAAATAGGAAAAAAAATATTGACAGAGGAAGTAGTGTACTATATATTGAGCTCCAAGGGATTGAATTTGAATATGGAGTAAAAAAGATAATCATTTCAAATTTTAAAATAAGACCGTATAATTATCATAAGATCACTTTGTAGGTGATTTGGAGTAAGAGGAGAGTAAATAATTAAAATAGTGTCATCATATATACTTCCTCCGTTCTTTTTTATTGGGTTTTGGAGGCAAAATTTGGCAGTGGGAAAAAGTAAGAGAGAGAAACGTAAGAATACAAAATTGTCCATATAATGTAAAGATAAAATAAAAAGTAAGTGTGAAAAAGTAAGGGTATGTTGGGTATTTGCAGTGTGAACATAAATATTTTTTGTCCTAAAATGAAAGTGATGCAGTATTTACGAAACTTCTCTAAAAGACAAGTAATGAGATATTAAAATAACGGAGGAAATATTTATTATATAATGACTCAGATCACAAAAGCAGCCTTATGATGATAAATAAACAATCCTGTAAAAATGTTACTTAATAATCCTTTCATAATAATAATGAGTTTATCACAATAAAGAGAGACAAAAGACACGTAACAAGGAAATCAATTTTCCCTAAGCAAGAAAACAAAGTGTAAATAGTTTCAAAGGTAATGTTTCTAGTCTAGACAAGAGATAATCAAGGTCTTGTTTCAAGTAACAGTGTAACACAATTATTCATACAGCTTTAATATTTACTGTTTAGCACTGGCTTTAATTAAAAGGTGATGGCAGTAGTTATCGGGTAACATATTGCTTACATGCTTATTGCAATACTACG